GGTGTTACTTACTTAAAAAGCACACCAAAATTTTCACTTAACCAAAAACCTTGACGGAAAATTCGTAAACTATGAACCATGTTAACAAAACAAAACCATGAATACGACCGAGCTAGAGGTATTCAATGAACACAAACATCGTACACTACAATAGTAAGCCCCTACCTACATTTTACGGTAGATACAACTCGTATAAAACGTAAAACGTAACATTTCTATCGCTCGCTTGCAGACAATCGAGATGAGAGCGAGCGAATCGATTTATGTGACAAATCGAGAACTACGGTTTTATGATATCGCTGGGATCGACATTGTGTACCTAGAATTTATTTTATGTAATCTCACCGTTTGTTAAAACTACTTTGTACCAAGTATAACATCCGATTGTTTTGTTGCAAACAAATGATTAACTCCTAGATAGAGTCTAGTGTTGTGTTGGAAGACGTTGGTAAATCGTCATTTGTTTATGAAGAGGAGGTTGAAGTGTTTTAGCCAATTAAGTAGTAAGTACCATTTTAATAGAAGGGACGATAAATGACAAATATCGGTCTAATTTTAAAGATTAGTTGCTACTTAGTGTCAATTTCGTAACTGATTATTCCAATATAATATTAGTTTTATCTGTAGCATTGTACTAAGGTATGTAAGCTCACATAAATAAGTTCCCAGTTCGATATAAAAGGAATCGAAACCCGTGGGAATACCTACACAGTAATTTATTCGCATCTACATATAGCAGTGTATCTGCTCATTATAAATTCATCTTGCCGTGACTATCGACCCGAGTATGAAACTTAGTTACCGATATTGAGGTTACATTTTTCTAGTAACCCGAGCTTAAGAGCTAATTTAATAATCAAATTGTATTAGCTTCATAAATTTAAAATTGAAAACGTTGTGGCAAGAATATTGTGGGGTTCTTTTAGGATAGTCCAGAAGCAGATACTTTTTTTTTGAGGGGGAAAATCATCCAATGTCTCTCCCGCCTTGGGTCAAGCGAAAGAGTGTCAGACTTTTACTGACTAAAAACCACCCCGTTCCTACTCCTGTTTTGAGTCGTAACGCCGGTAACCGAGTTTCTCCGTAGCTCCCGTGAAGTAGAAGCTTACTTCGCATAAAATTTATGTTTGTATGAAATCTAAACTGTCTTAGGGCTCGAAATTGTGATATAATGCGAATTCCCAACGCAAAAAATTACGATGCAAATTGCTGCGATGCGATTTCGTGTGTCAAGGCGTATCCCAGGTTGACCATTCCTTCGACGACCGGTTGACAGTGCTAAACGTATTTCAAATTGAAAACTACGTCGTGACATGGATCGTAAAAAGAAGTGTGCACTTCTGTTATTGCTTAGGAGATACAGGAAAAACAAATAAAGAAGATCTTAGGAAAAAAATTGGATGCGCGATGTGAATCAATTCGCAAGTTATTGCGATGCGTAGAGTCGCATCGCTGTTTTGTGTACTAGCCTTTATACATTGTACTAAGTAGGTCAATATGAGAATTATAATAATAGAACACATTCGCTTCGGGAGTCTACCCTGATTGTTTGGTAGACTTCGGGTGGGCGTTTAACCTGAAACCGAGGGTTGAAATCCCACACGTATCAATTATTTTCTTCCCCATTTCCTTTAATATCACCTTCAGTTTGGAAAGGTAATGGTAATGACGTGATTGGTTCAAAGACCATATTAATCTAAGACTAGTATTTTCTTCGTAGTCATAGATAGCTCAATGACCTTCCTAGAGAATTCGGATGAAAATCTTAATAAGATATCTTCAAAATTGTTATCTGTTATCAATTCAATAATTCAATTCACTTGTCTACTTTGTGTGATAACATCACGACTTTGTGTGATAGTTTTCAGACCATTAAATAATAGCATTTTTTTTAATTCTGAGTACCAGGATAAAAGAAAGCACGTGGAAGTTACCTGAGCAGCCGTATCCATCGACGTGCAGCACGTAGCCGGGCCCGCAGCCGCACTCGTAGGTGCCGTCGTGCAGCTCCCGACAGAGCTGCTCACACGGGCTGCCCTCGCCGCAGCGCCCTGCAAACACCACTACACTTGTAGCTAGCTTCTTTATTGCGAAAAATATTTGAAGGAGTTAACGTATGTTTATAAACTCCGGGTAGATTGATTACTAAAAACAAAATACATTCTTTAAATTTGGTATTGATATGAGAAAAATGGAAATGAATGTAACAACATAGTATTTTGTGTCACATTTCGACTTGAAGTGAATTTGAACTCAAGTACAATATTTGTACACAATAGACTAGAAGATAGTATTTATTTATTTATTTATTTATTTATTTATTACACTCTGGAGGACTTACAGCTAAAACTACATAAAAATAGAAGTCAACATAAACTACTGAAAGCCAATTACAAGTCCTCACGTATAGTGACAGACTTAAATTTGATAGGTGAGCATATGAAAATTTTCGCAGTGGTTACAGCTTATTAAAATTGTACAGTTTATTATACCAGTTAATTGCAAGGATCAACTAGAAACTAGTATTAACTAGAAACCTTTAGTTACAAGAATAAGTGAAAGATAAAAATAATATAAACATTTCCGAAAACTAGAGATACAATTGAGATGCTACTTAAAAAACCTGAGGCTCATGCGTCTTCTGGCCGACGCCACGCTAGTCGCAAAGGGATCAAAGTCATACTGCTTACATATATTATTGAACTGTCTACCCGCTCGTATAATAAAACTATTCTGTCTGTAATTTGTTGATGCTAGAGGCACACGTAAGGGTGGGTTATTGCGGAATATTTTTTGTGGTACATTAAAGTGAAATTTAGAAAGAAGTTCGGGGCTGTCAATATTGTTATTTAAGATTTTTAATACGTACAAAAAGTCGGCAATCTCACGTCGATCTTTGAGAGGTAATAAATGATATTTCTTACAGAGTCGAAGATAATCGACAGGGTGATAAGGAATTTTTTGATGAAAACAGAGATATTTAATGAAACGTCTTTGGATGTTTTCTATGCGGTCGATGTACTTATGGTAACGTGGGTTCCATATCTGAGACGCATACTCAAGCTGACTTCTAACAAAGGTGCAATACAAAATTTTTAGTGTTTTGGCGTTATTAAAGCACTTAGAGAGACGCATAATAAACCCAAGCAATTTAGAGGCTTTTTTGATAATAGTGTCAACGTGGGTGTCAAAAACTAATTTGCTATCTTGATGAACACCTAAGTCACGGATGGTATCACACCTTGGCAAAGTCTGGCCCGATAAGATGTAGGTGGTGACTAGAGCGGCACGTTTCCTAGTGTAAGTAATTACTGAACACTTAGATGGATTCAGATCGAGTTTATTAGCCCTACAGTAGACTTCAAGACGATGTAGATCAGCCTGAAGTGCTAATTCATCTTCAACCGATGATATTTTGGCAAAGATTTTCATGTCATCGGCGAAACACAGTAATTTGGATGATCGAAGGCACAGATCGATGTCGTTCACATAGATCACAAATAAGAAGGGCCCAAGTAACGAACCTTGAGGCACTCCGCTAGGCACTGAGACCCAACTAGATATATAATTATTGATCACTACAGCCTGCGATCTATTATTGATATATGAGGAGAACCATCTCAAGAGGTCCCCATGAATACCTATAGAGTTTAGCTTCTTGATCAAAGTGTCATGATCAATACGATCGAATGCTTTGCTATAATCAGTGTAAACCACATCGACCTGGCTACCATCATCCATAGCTTTAGTAATAAAATCATTAAACAAAATCAGATTAGAGGTTGTAGACCGTCCCCTCAAAAAACCATGCTGGAAGGAGCCAAGCGAAGGTGCAAGAGCAGGGTATAACTGATTATAAATAATACGCTCAAATAATTTAGCAATAATGCACAATTTAGATATAGGCCTATAGTTAGTAACTTCAGTTTTAGACCCCTTCTTATAGACCGGTGTAATAAACGCAGATTTCCACACTCTGGGGACAACACCTTGAGACAAGGATTTGGAAAACAGAATAGAGATAGGTAATGCAATAGAAGTAGCACATTTAATAAGAAATTTAGAAGATATTTTATCAGGACCAGCTCCTTTGGATGGGTCTAAACTGCGGAGTAGGTTGGTCACAACATCAATTTTGATTTCAATGTTGGAAATATTAGAGGGAGATACAGTAGTATTTGAGGAGGAAACCGGGGCTGTATAGGGAATAGTCGTTGAGCTGGGCTCGAGAAAAGTGGAATGGAAATAAGAGGAAAAAGCCTCACAAATAGAATCACCAGTGAGTAATAATTCATTATTGTATTTTAGTGTACTAGGCATAGCGTTCGAGTTGCAACGATTTTTAACAAATGTCCAAAAATGTTTAGGGTTATTTTTAATAGATGTTTCAGTTTGATTAAGGTAACAGTTATAGCATGAGGCTTCCATAGTCTTGACTCTTTCCCGCAAGTGTTTATAAGATAATTCGTCGGATTTATTACCATAAGTCTTGAATTTTTTAAGATATTTGTATTTTTCCTTGATAGTTCTAATGAGCGATTTACTAAACCAGATGGGGTAACTATTATTACGAACAAGCTTATGTGGTATATACTTATTTCGTAATTCCTTTATAGTATCCATAAAGTACGAAACTGAGCCGTCTAGAGATCGAGACGAAAACTGTTGTTCCCAATTCACTGCAAGAATTTCTTTGTTAATAGATACAAAATCGGCTCTGCTATAAACATATCTTAGCCGCGGTGCATGGTCCAAAGAAGGCATTTCAAACAAGTCGATATCAACTAACAAGGCGGGATGATAGGGATCAATAGCGACTAGCGGGTCCAAACACTCAGTAACACAGGCCAATTTATCTGAGAGGACCAAATCCAACAATTTCCCATACCTATTAGTCACTCCATTGTATTGTTGAAGACCCAGAGTGCATAACTCATCGGCGAGCATACATTAGTCGCTAGTGGTAAGGTTCACTGGGATTAGCGAATTATTAGTCGATGAAGTCCACGAAATTCCACTCATATTAAAGTCACCTACAATAAGAAGCACATCGGAAGAATGATTTAAGGTAGTTTGGTTTAATTTAGTAAAAAAATTGTTAAGTTGATTCGAGAACGAAAAACCGTTGTTTTGTTTACATAAATAAATAGCACAAACGTACAGGTTTACGAAATCTCGTGTGTTTGACTTTTTAAATCGTATGCTAATCCAAAGGTCTTCTGCTGAAGACTGGAGGAACGGTTCCTGGGTAACGGGTAATTCCCTACGCGTCGCGACCAACACACCACCACCACGCGATTGTCCGGTCACAGCACAATCCCGGTCACGGCGCCACACTATATACCGGTCATCAAACAACTCTGAGTTCAACACACCATCGACTAGCCACGTCTCCGCCAGAACAATAACATCGTAAGAATTTAATAAAACCTGACGATAGAACGAGTCCGTTTTCGTTCGCAATCCCCGTACGTTCTGGTAGTAAACAGTCAGTCGCTGTTCATTGTTATCACCCATAGCTAAAATGTGCAATAATAACGGCATAAGTTTCATTATAACAAAAAACGACTGGCCAATGCATTACAAAATAAAAATATCTATAAATTACGGAAGACAGAAATAAATATGTGAAAAGTGGGTAAATGTAAATTAAAGTAGCAAAAGTTTGCAAATCATCCGATATTACGTATGACATTACTAAGTGAGCAAGTAAGCAGCAATACATCAGGAGCGTAAGTGCAAGCGAGTCAGATATATAGCTATGAATCAGATCCCCAACACAAACAGCGCGACGCCGAGAACAAAAGAAACTCATCAGCGAAGCAGAGGTGCAAAACCTTTTACAATAAACAATTATTAGACATTGATCGATTTTAAAAGTATAACATAAATTAAAAAAAATGACATGTACTTATGTAGCGGTTTATACAATTTTGTTTAAATCCTGTTCTTTCCGAACTATAAAGGTTTTACAATTAACGTTTTTGCGTACATGAATTTTGCCATATTTAACCCACACAAATTCATAACGTTTCTCTTTAGCGATGTCTTTGGTTTTACTTAAAAGTTTTTTAGATTCGACGCTTAAGTGGTCATTCACATAAACACGCTGTGGTGCTCCTTGGAAACCTAAATCCGATGTAGATAGGTCCTTATCTGCCCGCGCAGCCGCAACAAAGTCCTCCTTTACATACCTATTCAGAAAGCTCACTATTACTAATTTCTCCTTAGAGTTATGTATAGGCACCCTAGAGATGTAATTAATCTGGGCCTTAGGACAATTATGCTTGATTTTACGGCCGATGGCTTCGATGATTGAGAATAAATTCTCATCCTTTTTGAGGGGCACTCCTTTGATCTCCACGTTATTTAACCGGGACCGCTGATCTTGAGACGTAAACTCGTGCTTTGCTGAGGCTAACTCAGATTGCAGTGAGAGGACTGTGTCCTGGAGCTTATCAAACTCTGACACCTTCGATTCCAGATTGAAAAGTCGAGTGTCGAACTCATCGAGCCTACCACTAGAAAAATCGTAGCATTTTTTGAGATCACTCAGCTCATCTTTAATTGATCTTAAGTCATTAACTAAAGTCGGTAGGTCCAGTAGCTGACGCTTCATTTCTCGAATCTCACTCAGCACAGTGTCCAGTGAAGCCGTAGGTTGCGGTGAAAGTAAAGTCGGCGACGACAATCGGCACGCAGGACATTTCCATTGGGCTCTTCTGTCAGCACCCAATTTCCTCCAACCAACTTCGGTCATGCTGGCACAAGAGAAGTCCAGGTACTTTTTGCAGCTCGTACATTGAACTCCATCATTGAATCGCTCATTGCAACTTGCGCACGTTTTCATTGCGAATGAAGTAAATAAAAAATGCTTAACCTTCCAAAACCGAAAAAAGGTTGACAATCTATTATTTAGCGCGTAAAGCGTACTGCGTTAATGCGTGCTCACACGATACTGATCGATCGATTCATATTAATACATTTAATTAAATCAAAATAACAATTGGAATAATAATAAAAACAATCATTCGTTGTAAGAATCAAGACA